TGACCGAAGGTCTCCCCGCCGCTCAAGCGGGGGTGGTGGTGACGGAACGACTGGCGGTAATGAGCGAAGGCGATCGAAAGTTGGATCTGGAGGATCGAAGAAGAACGGAGAGTGATAGGGAGCTGGATCTATAGGATCTCCGACTAAACCAACGACTAGGTCGAAGGGTAAAGCTCCGGATACAGGTAAGACGGGATCGGAGGGATCGCTGGAAGGCATATGGGAGGTCAAGCCGCGGGGATTGGATCCTAAAGTGGCTATGCCGATTGCTAAGAGCGTTGGTCAGACGAGTGCGATTGTAAGGAAGAAGGAGGATTCTCCTTCGAAGTTGAAAATGGAGTTGATGCTGGCATCGAAGGTGAGTATGATGATCAATCCAACCTTTGTTGAGAAGGAGTTTGTGATGGAGGTTGAAGAAATTCAAGCTACGATTGTTGAGATGGAGGAATCATTTGATGTTGATGCTACAATGCCTGGTCGGAATTGATCGATGGTGGATGTTCCAGATCGGAATGGCTATGTCCAAGATCTGAGGATCGGAGCGAAATGTCAGATGGTGGATGTTTCAGATCGGGATCTATTAATCGAAGAGGACTGTTCGATGGAGGTGAGTTCTACTTTGTTTGAGCTGAACAATGCTGTAAGGGATAATGTCGGTGACGGCAGAACGAGCGTTGTTCCGGAAATTGAATCACCTACTAGGAGGATGAGTGGGGTGAAGGGTACTGAGACTAGTTCTGGTGAAGGGAGTTTCCCGTGCTATGGCACTTATGATGATTGTGGAAATGATGCTTCCAGCAGGATCCCTTGAAGCTCAGCGAATGGGGATGGGAAAGGTAAGGTGGAAACAGGGAATAGAGGCCCTCTATTTCCAATTGGGTTGAGCAATGCCTTGAAGAGACCGGAGCACATTCCGATTCATCATCCTAAGGAATTAAATGTTATATCGTCTGACGGGATTTCTATTGATCTAAACCTGGAGGCCGCTAAGGCTAATGTGGCTATGCTGGAAAGAGCAGTTGTGGGGAAAATCCTGGGCAGAAGAGCTTCCTACTTCTTGTTGAAGTCGGAAATATAATGACAATGGGGAAGGTTTGGTGAATTCCAGCTTACTACGCTGAGATATGAATGCTTTGTATGTGTTTTTGGTTCTGTTGAAGCAAGGGATGCTGTTCTTTGTGGAGGCCCCTGGTTCATTGGAGGTAACATTGTGGGATTGGACAGATGGATGCCGAGCTTCTCTACGGTGTCGATGGAAGGCCTTTCCTCTTCGGTATGGATAAGATTGCCTAATCTCCCTCAACAGTATTGGGATGAATGTAATATCTCCAGGATTGCTTCGAAGATTGGAGTTACCCTCTGGATTGATGCACAGACAGGCAATTGGGGTATAAGAGAGTATGCCCGGGTGTGCATCAGGATGAATTTGGCTAATAAGCTTCAGGCAGGGATTTGGGCTAACGGGTTGAATGGGAGATTCTACCAGAAGGTAGAATATAAGTGTATTGGACTCATGAGTTTTGGCTGTGGAAAAGTGGGGCATAGGAGGGATATGTGTCCGTCGAGAGTTGGTGGACAAGGGGATAATGGGAATAAAAGAACAAGGGAGCAATTGAAGCAGACAGGTTCTGGGGCAGGCAGCTTAAATCAGCAGCTGGGAAGTCTTGGGAAGTTGGATCAGACTCAAACTAAGAAGAATGTGGCAGTTGCAATTAAAATAGAGGGTGGGAGAAAGGTAATACCTGCTGGAAATAATGATAAAGGAAAGATGGTGGAGGTTCTACAAGAAGTGAATGGAGGCAATGCTAATTCGGTGGAAAATCTTCAGGAAATTGATGATCAGTTGGGCCCCTGGATCCAGGTTCCCCCAAGAAGGAGAAGGAGTACGCACTTACAAGTTAGCAATAAGGAGAACATTGAAAGTAAACAGAATTTGAATCTTTCTAAACAGGTGGATTTGGGCAATATTCAAGCTCCTGCCAGTAAGTTGAAGCCTACTCATAAGCAGAGTAGGATGGGATTTAAGCAGCCTTTGCTGTTTAAGGCTAGAATGAGACTTGTTAACAGGTTTCAATTGGGACCGAGTGAGGAGATTCCTAGGAAAAGGAAAAAGGAGATGGTGGAAGATCATGATCGTGAAGACAATAGCGGCGGGGACGCTTCCCCTTTTGTTTTTTAATGTCTTCCATCATTATTTGGAATTGCAGGGGTGCTCATAAGAAGCAAACTGGGCATTACTTGCGTAGCCTTGTTGGTAGAAATGAGGTGATATTTGTTGTTTAGTTGAGACGATGATTGAAGACATCACTAGGACTAAAGTTGACAGACCTATTGGTAGTAACTGGGATTTTACTCACTTCCCAGCTGCTGGAAGATCGGGTGGATTGCTGGCTCTTTGGAGACGGGATACAACCCAGTTTGTTGTGGTTTCGATGATGAATCAAGCTATTATTGGCTATTTGGTGATGCCCAATCTTTAGAAGTGGAGGATTGCATTGGATTATGCTAGTAAGTATTATCATAGTCTTAGATTGCTATGGGATACTATTAGCTCTAATCTTGATGCTGATCTGCCTATGATAGTGGGTAGAGATTTTAATTGCTGTCTTGAACAAAGTGAGAAGAAGGGAGGCATGAGATATAGTTACTCTTTGGGTGCTCAGGAGATGGCGGCTTTCTTAGTTGACAATGATTTACATGATCTGGGTTTTGTTGGACCGAGGTTTACCTGGATGAATAATAAAGTTGGAAACAACAAGATATGGGTTAGATTGGATAGAATTCTGATGAACTCTGAGGGGATTAGAATTGCCCCATTGTCCACTATTAAACACATGGTGAGGCTTGCTACGGACCATTGCCCTCTGTTATTGAACCTTGCGTCTTCTTCCTTTAGAGCTGGGAATAGATGGTATAGATTTGAGGATATCTGGATGTCTTATCAAACTACTTGGAAATTGGTGTGGAAGGAATGGAACAAGAGTGATTATGGGCAGCCGGTTGAAGTTCTAAATCGCAAGTGTTCTAGAACACTCAAAGCATTATTCTACTGGAGCCGGAATCATTTGAAGGAGCTAGGGGATTTGAAATGTTCTCTTGAATCAAGATTAGAGGAACTCCAAGAGCTTGAATCTTCAAATAATGGATTGAATGATGAGCAAGATTATGAGATGCGGAGAAAGGCTGTTGAGTTAAATACCACCTTGGCACGTATTGCAACATGGTGGAGATAGAGAGCGAAGGCTAGGTGGATCGAGGATGGGGATGCTAACTCGCATTTCTTTCATTCTTTTGCTTCGGCTCGTAGAAGGGGGAACATAATCCTGGAGGTCCAGAATCCAAATGGAGATAGGATTGAAGATCCAGCTGATATACAGAAGGATTTCTTGAGATTTTTTATGCTCAAATGGCAGGAGAGACAGATTGTCACTGATAATTGGCCTTACTTTCACAGGGAAGATATGATTTCTAATCAGGTGAATACGACTCTGGAGGCAGAGATCACGGAGCTGGAGGTTTGACAAGCAATTTTCAGCATGGGAACAATCGTGCTCCGGGTATGGATGGTATTACATCTTCTTTCTTGAAATTTTATTGGGAGATTATTAAATGCGAGGTTACTCATGCTATTGTTCATTTCTTTTGCACTAACACTATGTGTGAAAGCTGGAAAGATACATTAGTTGTACTCATTCCAAAGACAGAGGACGCAAATTTGCCAGAAAAATTCAGGCCGATTAGCCTTTGTCAATCTTTCTATAAGGTTGTGGCTAAGATCTTGATTAACAGACTAAAGCCGGTGTTGGGCAATATCATCAGCCAAGAGCAAGGGGCCTTTGTTCCGGGGAGGTCCATTTCCAGCCATGGCCTTTTAGCTCAGGAGATGATGAACAAGTTCCAGTTCTCTGCCCAGAAGTCGGGGATGATGGTTTTGAAGATTGACATGGAGCAGGCATACGACTGTATGTCTTGGGACACTTTGCATAGGGTGATGACGCTGATGGGATTCTCTGGTCGATTCATTGAATGGATCATTCAATGCATTGCCAAGCCGAGATTTTCCTTATTGCTTAACGGTAACAGAATGCCCTGGATTTATGCTGAGAGCGGCCTTCGGCAAGGCTGTCCATTGTCGTCGTATCTATTTATTCTCTATTTTGAGCTTCTTACTAAAGCTTTTAGACATAGGGGGCAGCTTGGAGTTCAGGTTGTTAAAAATGTGGAGAGGATATCTCATCTACTGTATGAAGATGATATCCTTGTTTTTGCTGAAGCCAGTAAGAGTAATGCCCTTCGTATCATGAAGCTGGTAGATGATTACTGTGACTGGAGTGGACAGAGGATTAATTGCGAGAAATCAGTTGTTCTATTCAGCAGAAGATGCCCCAAGTGGAAGAAGCGTACAATTGCTAAGTTGATGGGGTATAGAAAGGTGATATCTCTGGATTATCTGGGATTACCTTTGGTAATGAGGAGGTTAAAAGTGATTGATTTTTATAAAATCATTAGAAATGCCCATCAGAAGACGAACATTTGGGGGAAGAAACATTTGTCACTTGCTGGCAGAGCAGTATTGATTCGTACTTCACTTCTTAGTATTCCTATGTATTTGATGTCTCATACTAAAGTTCCTAGGGGCGTTCTTGGTGATATTAAGAAACTAGGCAGAGGATTTCTATGGCAGAAGGACTCTAACAGCAGGGGGATGCATTATGTTGGATGGAAGGAAATGTGTCAACCTAGGGACCATAGGGGCCTGGGATTCCATGGACTGACCAATTAATTAGCAGGGACCTTTGCGTGCTAGGGTGGCTTGGCAAGTGTTTAGTAATCCAAATTTGTTACTGCATAAGGTGGTGAGAGCCAAGTATGGAATGGAACTATGGAATGACACTCAGGTGTATAGATCTTCTATCACTTGGAAGGTGATTCATGATGGTGCTAAGGCTCTTAAAGCAATCATCAGGTGGAACATTGGAAATGGCCAAAGCATAGATGTGATGCAGGACTGTTGGATCCTCAATTGGAGGATCTACTTATGGCCTACCTTTGTTAATGTTAAAGAGGTGGACAATGTAAGGGTGAATTGGCTGCTTGATGACTCTGCCAGATGGAATGGGGAGCGGGTGGAACATTGCTTTGGTAAAGTAATGGCTTAAAGGATTATGGCCATTGCTACTAATGGGAACAATGGAATCGATGCTCCAGAACTCATTCATTCTCGAATGAGTATGACACTGACTGCAATGGCCTATAAGGCCAGGATGGGAGAGGGTGAGTACCAATTCGGTTGGATAAGGAAATTGAAATTGCACCCACGGGAAGATTTTTTCTGCTAGCATCTCCTAAGGAATGCTATTCCTACCAATCTTTGGCTATCATGTAGGGTCTTATCGACAACCTGTCTTTGTCCGTGGGGCTGTCAAGTGGAGGAGAACCTTGACCATTGTACAACTCAGTGTGCTAAGCTGAAAGATGTGTTTGGTATTCTGAGGAAGTGGGGGTTTGCAATGTCGATGGTCCATTCTATGGAAGAATTGATGCAGGAGAAATGTGCTAATGTGGATAATAACCCAAGCCTAGGACGAATATGTTGCTACACTATTTATCAGGTTTGGCGTGCTAGGAATGAGCTGAAACACACAGGGAAGTGTAGGCCCCCTTCTATCATTGCTGCTACCGTCTTTATCTGCTGCCAAAAACTTATTGTTCACCTATCTTGGAGCAATGTAGTACTATCCAGCCCGCTGGGATGCCGTCTCACAAACAATGGTGCCCCCCCCCCCTCCTGGATGGCTGAAATTTAATGTTGATATAGCAGTGAAATCATCTAATAAGGCAGGGATTGGAATTGTGGTGCGGAACTTTGAGGGGGCACTTGTAATTATTGTTGGTAAAGATTGTGAACACTGGGATGTACTCCAAGCTGAGGTAAGCGCTGCTGCTGCTATCCGTGAGCTTATTATGGATTCGATGATTGATTTAGAAGGGGTCATTATAGAAGGTGATAGTATCAATGCTATCAAGTGGTTGCAGCACATTTATGATCACAAGAACAAAGTTCATTTCAGTTCTGAGGGACCGGATCTCTCTTTTTTGATGAGGTTTAAGAAGGTTCTGTTTCAGTACATAAACAGAGATAGTAATCGGCCAGCAGATCTTTGCGCCAATATAGCTTTACAGGGTAGTTTTACTTTTCTTGATGTAAATAATGAGGAGTTCCCCTCAACTCTCTTGAGGTTGTTGAGGGAGGAAAGTGATAGGATATAGTTACTTTGAGTGATTACTTGTAACTAGTTCTTTTCTTTCCATTAATGCAAAATGCAATATTAAGCTCTCTCTCTCTCTCTCTCTCTCTCTCTCTCTCTCTCCTATCTCTCTCCCTCTATTTACTCTCTTGGTCTCTCTCTCTCTCCCCCTCTCTCTCTCTCTCTATAT